ATTTTTGTGACATTTTTTGTACATGTCACTAAAAATTGACAATTAGTGACTTTTTTGCCACTATTTTTATAAATTGTCGTTAAAACTTAAAATTAGCAACTTTTTTTGTGATGAATTTTTTAAACTATCGCTGAAAGTTGAAAATTTATAAAGTTTTTTGTGACAATTTTTTTAAACTACCGCTAAAACTTATAATTAGTGACATTTTTTGTGACAATTTTCAAACTATCGCTGAAAATTAACAATTATTAACATTTTTTAATAGTGTTTGATGAAAAACACCATTAATTATCATAAGACCTATTGGATAATAAGTACACCTATTAGGACTTACATGTAAGTCTTCCTTATTATTATTAATTTTAGGATCCTATAGTCTAGGCAAACATTAAAATTAAATTCTTCCGTTTCAAACAAAAAAAGCAAATAATTTACAAGATTACCAAACATCATATTTATTTTAACAATTACAAAAGTTAAAAAGTCATAAGTGTGCCAAATAACATGACTTATTTTAGGCTTGACTTATTTGTTGATATATAAGTTGCAAATAAGAGACCCAACCCAACGCTAGTGTCTTAAAAAAATCTTACAATTTGCAAAAATCCATATTTAATGGAAAATAACTTAACTAATATAAGTAAAATTTGGTTAGCACTTTGAAAACCAAGCTTGCTTTTATTTGAATTGCTACTGATGTTTAGTCTAATTTTATGGTGAAGAAATGAAAATGCGATCCGTTCTAGGAACCTTATCTAGCAGGAATTTTGATCATTGACAGAAATACAAATTGAACCCTGTGACAAGTCTAATATATTTTTAGCTTTAATTCTTGCAAGGACAAGAGAATTTTATTCATCCACTCTATTTGTGGGTGGATGGCATGCTGTATACTTATCGGTGGTTGGATTGTTGACTGGCCTCATCCAATTTAAGTTTCAAGACACTGATGTCTCTCCATTTAAAACGTACCCTGTGAGCATGCGAGCTTTCTTTATATCAATATGCATTTATGGCTTGGCAGTTGTGATCAGAGGGTTTGTTTAAGGGCGAGCTATCAGCAGAAACTACTCTCACATCACTGGCCTCGTTATTATGATCTTGGTAACTCATTCTGAAGTGTCCTCTGTCTCCCTCTTCGTCCCAAATTGGCTCAATTGTCTTCTCCTCATCAGTTGGCTCATTTTCTCTGTTATGGTTGTCTTAGTTATGGTGGTGCCATGTAAGTTTATTCATTGTATCAACCGGTGATTTTACTAAATAACTGTAAATGCACTTGTCCAAGTGCTCAGTGCGTTCACAAGCTTGTGGAAGCTAAGATTGACGGTTGGAGAGCTCATCTGCTATATTCTTCTTTTCTACAGGTGGCTTTACCAAAGCAATATCAATGCATTTGGCTGAGTACTCAACTTGTACAAAGCTTCTGGAAGCCTAGATTAGTTGAACATGACCGTCTTTATGTGTAGTTCTCTATGGCCTTCTTGAAAACCCTTATTGGCATTTGCATATGTTAGCAATGGAATTCGTGTCTAATAGTACTTGATTTGGGATGTGTGGAGTTACAATCCTTGGTTTGCTAAGTTGCACGTGCACGAACACAAATGCAGATTCAAACACAGACAAGGTGATTTCAAAAAAAAAAAAAAAATTTGGGGACATGGACATGGTGTGAATACGGCAATAAACTATTTTTTCATATATTTTTATTTGCTATGTAGATTAATATTTCATTTACAAACAATCAAAATTATCAAAAATTAACACTAATTTTATATTTGTTTAAAAAAAATTTTGTTAATTAACATTTATCATTGATATATTTTTTATGGATGATCTATTAAGTATTTAAATTTAAAAATTACAAAATAAGGTTAAATTGCCAATTGTGTCATTTTAGTCCTTTCACTTTTACTAAGATTTCACTTTAATCTCTTCATTAATTAAATAAGAATAATGACATAATCAAACACAACATATAACTAAAGACATTTTGGATTATAATTAAAATAATAATAATATGTTAAAATCAACATTACAATGAGTTATAATTAGCAGCACATTAGGTCATAATCGAATATTACAAATATCATAATTGGGACATATGATACACACCTCAAAATAGGATCATAATTGGAGTATATGGTACACACCTGGGGTGTGTTATAGAATTTACCAAATTAAAGTGGCACCTAAACTGTTACTAGTGATAATATTTTTTTTTTAAATTTTTATCATATTGGATTTGGGATTTTTATTTTAGATTTAGACAAGTTTGGAAATAAAAGTATAGGCTTGATCCCAGATTAGGCCTCGCTTGAAAAACTACTTCCAATATTATTAAGTAATGTATGTCTGGCTACCTGCCCAACTCATTGGTTGGGATGAAAAAAAGTTGAGCGCAACAGTGATAGTGCCATTGGTATTACAATCTAATAATTTTTTGATATTTATCTTATCATATAAATGTGGCAAGGCAGTTATGCATTGAAAGTGAGATTTACTCGCTATATGTAAGTTTATTATTAATTGATGATATCCCATCATCGGTTTTACCGTAACAGTAAATTTTTATTCTCATATCCACCCCTCCGCTAGTGGTAAAAATTGATGTAAATATCTATATCAATAGTTGATTGATGTTCAACCATTGTTGGCACAATGATATGCTCTTCAATTATCATAGTGAGTTCAAACCCCATGTGGGGTGATCGGTGATCCATTTTCCTTTTTCCTATCCTTAAATTAGGTTCTACCCAGTAAAAAGAAAAAAATCAACATAGTTGGCTTTTGCACTCCTGGTATCACACACTCTTTTCTGATTGTCCCGACCAACTACCGAGTTCTTTCCCATGGATGACAGAAAAGAGTCTAAAGAACACGTTGGAGAGATGAGATTCAATTCAAATGTGAATTCCATCATACATAATTAAATCTGCATCACACATCAAAATTCATATGAAAATCTGAGTACTTCATTCCAGTATCCTAGAGTTTTCTGTAATTTAAAACCCATGCAAGTGCAACTGATTTGGTGACTTTACCAAGCCAGAATTTCGTCTTGTTCTAAAACCTAAACACTCCATTTTCGTCTCTTTCGATGAGACATGGAAGAAGAGGAAAATTTGCGAACAGTCGGTGAGAGTTTTCTGTTTTTCAGTGCTTCAAAATGCAATGTGAACAGAGCAGTAATCTAGAAATGCATAGAGAGAGACAGGAAAAAATAGGGGATCAAGTTGTCCTTCAAGGAGAGCAAACAAACAGCGCCATCAGATAAGCTTGTTGAATCAAATATAGAATTGGTGGATTTAGTTCAAGTGCAATCAGATAGGCTTTGTTGTACCTAATTCTTTGAATGATGTGTCAGCTACCAGGACTACATATGGGCCAAGTTATGCAGGTAAACCCAATATCCCTATTTGGGCATCTCTATTTCAAAAACCTTGCATAGAAACTCCAATGGATTTAAATCTTAAATCTTAATATGGACTTCGTTAAGTAAGGGGAAAATGTCAATGTTGCCCCGAAATTTCCAAGAGAGGTTTGTTTCAATGGCATCATGCTTTAGTTGGATACTTTTTTAGCAAGAAACTACCCTTTCATTTGGTTAAGAGTTGTGCCGAAAAGTTATGGAAAAATGATGGGGTTGAGGTTTTTACTCTCAATAATGGTTGCTGTCTTTAAATTTCAAGATGAGAAAATGGTTGAAAATATTCTTAAAAATGGTCCATACCACTTCGGAGGAAAACTTGTAAATGTTAAACGTTGTTACCCAAAAGTACAAATGAAAAGTCAAGTATTCTCTAGTGCCCTCATATGGGTTGATTGTTTTACTGTTCTGCTTGAACTTTGGAGGAACTAAACTATGTTACCAGTGCAATTGGGAACCATTATAGATGGATTCAGCTACTCAATCTAGGAGTAGCTAGGAGTAGACTTGCATATGCTAGGATTCGTGTCGAAATCCAAGCTTTGTACGATATCCCAAAAACTTTTAAATCTTGATTTGGGTTATGGAGAACCCTATAAAATTAGGGTAGAGACTCCTTGGACACACCCAACAAGTATGTCCCTCTTCTCTCATTGTTACAACTACCATAAAGCAAGAATGGAGGAAAAACGAGGTCATGAGTAAAGCCCCATTGAATGATTGGGTTGAGGCTCCAACCAAGGGAGTTATTGATGAGAACATTTGTGCAAGTATGAATGAGGATGCAAAGGAACATCCCAAAGATGCATCTAAAATGTGTGAAGCTCCTCAGAGTACAAACATGTTTAATGTTCTTGATTCGTGTCTCGCCTCAAGTTAAAGTGACAACAAGGTTGATAATCTCTCGACTTCTCAAGCATAAAACAGTAAAAAGTTGAAAGAGAAACTTCAGATCTTGAAGTCAACTTCAAATCTTGAAGTCAGCTCGTGGGATAGTTGTCCCATCTCATTCTGTAAGTTCCAAGCGTTGACAAGGTGGGAGCGGAAAGTAACCTATCCACTTAAAGTGGTGAGGTTTTGCTTGTGTTTCTTGTTTCCTGGCCTCTTGGGTTGAGATAGTTTCATTTAGTAAGGCCTAGTTTATATATTTTGTAGCTTCCTCATGTTTGAGAAGCTTGTTGTGGCTTTCCAGGCTGTTCTTTGAGCCTATTGTATATTTTTATTTGTTGATTATAAAATTTTACTTTTTTTGGGTGGGTATATAAAATTTTACTTACCTAAAAAAAAAAAAGAATTTTGGAATCGCCGAAAAAAATAAACTGTTAGAGAAAACCAAATGAAAGATACGGGTTGCTTCTACATTATCTAGCGATGAACAAACTAATAAAAAATTCATAACAACAAACAAAATATTACAAAATTCATAACGCTCAACACCACATGGTTGGCGAAAAACAAAACAATAGATTTACATTAAAACATTAGCAAAAGGAATTCAAAGACTAATATGTTGGAAATAAAATTGGCTACACAACAATTTCACACAAATTTAGACGAGACTTGGAGAAGAAAGTATTTCACTCATACGATTCTAACTACATTCTCCTACTCATGCTTCCATTACATAGATGGCATGGCACTATATAAGATCTTAAAGCAACTCTTGGTATAACAGTAAGACCATATTTACCATAATATTAAAACTACCCATTGTAACCACAACCATTAAAATACAATTCTTTTTTTTTTCAACACAATCATTTCTAATATACTCAAACCACAAAACTGTAGCTGTGTTCCAAATCCTTCACAAAAGAAACAACAAACTCAAATCACAAAGCAGTAGTTGTGTTCAAATCCTTCACAAAAGGAATGACATCGATCACAAAAGAAACAGTAAAAGAAAAAGGTGAGAAATAGGAAATCCGCAATAGCTCCTCCTTTTCTAAGCAAACAAAACACAATCGCCCTCCAAAATACCTTCTAGTATCAGCACTTGTCATCTGCATCGCCACCACAATAAGAAAAAAAAATGAAGTCATGATTCAAATAAGAAAAATGATATACAAACAAATTTTTTCCAATTTTTTCTTAAATACTGATGTGCATGGAGTGATAAAACTTTGGAATGTCATCTAGTTTACTAATATGACAAGTGTCACATCAGTTTGTAAAAAAAAAAATTTATTTGTATAAGAATACAACATAATAGTCAGTTGATTTAGAAGTAGCATCGAAAGCCAACATCCAAATCCACACAATCAAGAGTATAGTTGTTTCTCATCATCTTACAATAACATAGGCGGTTTGGATAATGGATTTGAGTAGAGATTTGAAAAGGGAAATGAAAAAGTGTGTGAAAGGTGTGAAAAATGTAATTATATTTCATTCACATTTCCCTTCCCCTTCCAAATCCCTACCTAAGTCCATAATTCAAACAGTCTTAATCTTCCACTTAGAATCTGGTTCTACACATTTAAAACAATGAGATGTTGTGAAAGTGACTTGGTTTCAAGCTACATCACCTTTCTAAAATTGAATATCTTGAGCCCAAGTTTGCTCCTCAATGCCTGTAAGGGAACCCATCACTCCAAAATTATCTGTTTGACAATCCCAAAATTATCAGTTTCATAGTTCCTCGGTCACTTGTGTATGTATCACAAAATACAAATATGATGTGAAAAATAAAATTAAAAAACATTCACCCATTTTGTATCTTTTCAAATGAAATAACTCAGCACATAAGGAAGAAGTCATATGCGGCTTTAGTTCCCATAATTGATTTTTCTCCAACCAAATGCATGTTTTCATGCCCATCTGGATGTGAAACAAGGAGAAACCAAAAAAAAAACCTAGACTACAATAGAAGTTGCTTTGTAAATGAAAGGAAAAACTACAAAGATAATTAATAAAGAATGCATGCATCAATGCACCAGGAAGCAAGCATAAATAAATCACATGCCGTTGCATTAGAAAAAAAAAAAATTATGACCATAAAAAAAATGTTACTTTATTGTGTCCCTTATGTCAAATAGAAAAGCCATGAAAATATAAGAGAGATCACATATATCAAGTTGGAAGCTTTCTTATGAATATAGATTGTGAAGTAAGTACATCATGCAGTATCCCAATAAAATGCGGGTCAATTGAATTCAAATACTTGTCTTTTTCTTCATCTGTTTCCTGGACCAAAAAATAAAAATTAAAATAAAATTCACAAAATACCCAAACAAAATTAGTAACGAATTGATATTCTTACGTGTACATGATGAACGTTTCTGCTGAATCGTAAAAACCCTAGTGGTGAATCGTCGTATCTAATTTGTTGGCTTGGTCCATGTTGCTGGCTAGCGTCATAATACAAGACTGACGAATAAGATTGCTTCCCATCCATAACTTTTTCAATCCAAGAAAAATTCAAAATTCTGCCTTGCTTTTTTTCTATAGGATATTTAGCAATCATTGTTTGGTTGAACTTCCCATAATTTCTCAAAGGATAGATTCTCGTAAGTGCCATATGCTTGTACATGGCTCTACCGTATGCATTCAACAGAACAGGGTGATTAACAGAATTAAACAACCTGTGGACAAAAGAAATAATGACATATTAAAATTCAATCAAAGTAATACGAATAGATAGTATTGAACTAATCATTCAACTCACCCATTCGGTTTTATCAAGCTTGAGAGAAGATACTGTAACTCTAATGGAAGCGGGATGTTTTTGGCCTTGAATGATGATCTGACCATTTTGCAAAAAGCCATTGATATCATCAACATAAGATTTTTTAAAACTAATATTCACAACATTAGCAAATTTTGCCCTGCCATCAATAACATAAATGTTTTCCCCGCATATTTCGCCATGTGCATGCTTTAGTTCACTATGAAGGTAATTTATCCCCTTCAACATATCCCTACAATATAGAAAACAAAAAGGAAATTAACAAACATATTGCAAAATCAATAATAAAGATAAACAAAGAGAGATGTACTCACAATAAAAGGGCCCTAAACGAAGGTGTCAAATGATTGTCAAGATTGATGAGAAGGTTGTGTTGCGTCCAATCTTCAAAGTTTTGGTCCACGGGTTGAGAAAATAATATTATTTGATCATCCCCTACATGGGCCTCTCCCAATATTCTAAGCAAATGGAGCTTTTGTGCTCCAATGCAAAGTTATACCAATAATGAACATTATCATTATTTGGAAGAAGATGACAAAATGTTGCCATATCACAGTTCATTGTTGCTTCGTATGAATTGGTGTTGTTGACGATACATACTTTACTATTAGAAAAGAATGAACTGACAGGAAGCATATCTGCAAATTTGTAATTCAATGTTAGTTGTCTCTATGAAAAAAAATGACACCAAAATTTGTACTAAAGACCATCAACAAGTACTTCCCAACTATGTAATCTAACACAAATCCATAGGGTAATACAAACTCAAATTAAACTAAACTACATGTCTAAAAAAATTAAATCAAAAAATCAAAATGCTATGCAACAACAAAAAATTTACTACCCTGATTATTGAGGAACATAAAGCATTAAGCTTTTTACATACGAGTCCTAAAATATTGTCTACAAAAACATGTAATAAAATACGGATTTTTTTTCCATAGAATTACATACTACTAGACATGGCATTTAGAGTTAGTTATTTAACCCTTTTGACTTCATGAACTGATGTAGGGGAAACAGCCAAAGTTAGGCTACTTGGGTTTTGAATATTCTTCTCATTCATGTTAGAAGATGCTGGAAATATAAGCAATTTTTTTTGTTTATTTGTGTTTTGTTTGATGGAAGTGTGGTGTGTTTTAAGATTACAATCTATTAGCTATGTCTAACTCATTTGGCTTATGCAGGGCATATGTGCACTTCACCATGGCTTAATAAAAATATATTGATACAGGCAAGTAGAATTAAAAGAACTGTGAAAAGAATAAGCACTCAACATTTTCTACATTATTCAAAAACAAAAAATGGTACCACATTTGAAAACATTCCTTACTTGTTACATTCAACAAATATCAACAAAAAATGACACCGATTGACATACTGTGAATGATTTCATCATCAAGCTAAGTGAGCAATGGCATCTTCATTTACGAATTCGGAGAGAGAGAGAGAGAGAGAGAGAGAGAGAGAGAGTGAAGAACAACTGAATCTTTTATTATATCTTTATGATCAGATACATTGTATATTTATACAGATACCATGTAACAAACTTCCAACAAACTATAACAAACTATAACAAACTCTAACTAACTTTGAGTTAACTAACTCTAATTACTAACTAACCTGGGTACAACAAACTAACTACTGAACTAACTATCTTGAGGTCTTGAGCTTGCTGCAGAGCTATCTGGTGCAGAGAGAGTCTTATGGGACTGCTGCAAAGAGACTGTTGCAGAGAGAATCTTATCACATAACTTTTAGGATACACATTATAATTTCAAAATTCATAACTTTCATCACAAAAATCGTAACTTTTATATCACGGAAAGTAAACTTTTTCTACAATGTGTAAGTGCACATTGTAACATCTCCCACTTTATCCATATGTACAATGTTTGATTCCCTAATTGTTCAGTAACTAATTTACTGATTAATTTTATATTTTAATAATGAATAGTGTCAAAATATTGTTTTTGCAATGTTGTTTCAATGGTACAAATGTTATTTTTATTTCCTCACAAAATGCCAAATCAAAAGTCGTATATATTGATCCCATCCTATCATGATTTTTTATTGAGTGGTGTTACGGGCGTAAATTTTTGAACAGAAATTTACTCAAAAAATTATATTTGGGATGCAAGACCTTCATATGAATTATTTTTTTTTATTATACTTTTTGCACGTCTTTAGTGTTTACTATTCACCAGGTGTCCTAACTTGAGGGCTTTGGTGATGCCTTATGAGTCATGTTTTGAGGATGAAATCATCCCAAAACTTATGAGCAAGTGGAAAGCTCTGGAGATTTTAGTACTTGGAAGCAGCCTTGAAATGGAAGAAATCCTTGCCGAAACAGCCATTCATTGCAAGAACCTTGTTGCATTTGCTGTTATAAGTGGCTATATTGAGGAACGTCATGCTTCAGCTATTGTAAACCTACTGCCAAACATCAAGCGCTTGAGTCTTAGGCATGCACACATGGCAAGAGAAAATCTAGTGATGATTTTGAAGGGCTGCAAAGAACTTGAATATCTGGATGTTAGTTTCTGTGAAGGTTTCGACGAGGGTGATGGTGAAATATTGAAGCTTGCTTCTCATATCAGTTCATTCAAGGATAAGGGTTCCAGTTTGGATAATTATTACTGTGAAGATGATTGTAGTTCATTTCGTTATGATGGTTTCTTTGATGGCTACTGGTCTGAATAGTGTGTATTTGGGTCTAAAGGAAGTAGCCATTGAACAACAGTATATAGTGATGATTTTGAAAGGCTGCAAAAAAAATTGAGTATGTTGATGTTAGGATGTGCTTGGGTTTCGATGAGTGTGATGGTGAGAGATTAAAGCTTGCTTCTCTTATCCACACATTCAGGCATGAGGGTTGGCACTAGTTAGATTATTCTTGTTTTAGTTGCATGTTTTACCCTGATGGTTATGGCTCTGGCTATGTGTATCAAAATGTTCATTGTTGTTTTGTAATGGATGAAATACTGAGGGTCTTGTGTTGCTTCTTATGAACCAAAAATGTATGTTCTTGAACGGACATTATTATGTTGTCATGCATCAGTTCTACATACTTTGCACGCAGATGCCCTTGAGAAGTTGAGATCTTCTCCATTCTAGAGTCCTAATGGACTATCTCAATTACATTATCTAGTTTCTAATGATATTTTCTGAATTAAAAATAATGGTAACTTATCTTGATTATTTCACAATTCTTAGATGATGTAATGGAGATCTTTCATTACAACCATATAATTGAGAGGATCTTGGTCCCCCAAAAGTGTCTAAATAAAGCAATGGCCTACCTGTTCTACATTGTTGTGCTAGATGGCATCTATCTTCTAAGCAATGAATATTATCTAAGAAAAGAGTTCTCTAATGTCAATAATGATGTTTATTACAGATACATTTATTATCTAGGAAGTTTCTGGAATTTAGTTTATATTTTAGCAACAGTAGTAGAGTTATCTTTATTGGTTGTGAATTGTTGTGGAATAATTAGAACCTCTTCTGGTGGCCAACATACAACTTTGTAACAAACTGCATTAGCCATGGGGTTTGGCAAAGCAGTAGTTGAATGTACCCGGGAAACAGTGGAAGAGCACGGGACAAGAGGATGAAAAGCGAGACCGAACCCATGACCAAGGCAATATTAGCTAGCCAGTTAAGGTCACTTACCACAAGATATACACCGGTCATGAATGCCACAGACATCATTATAAGAGAAACTCCCAACAAGGGTCCTGATATGTTGAGGGCACCAGTTACCAACTTGGTGTCAGCAAATTGTGCCCAAAAGAGGTTAACAGCAGCAATAATGGAGCTATAGAGGGCAATGGTGTTGGAAATCAGGACTATTTGAAATGAAAGTCTAGTTATTCACCCAAAAAAAATGTCTAGTCACCAAAGTCGCCATGCCTTCGTGTGGGTAGGTGTTTTTATATCTGCCTGGCAATGTGAAACCAGCTGAGAAGAGAAGGTCACAGTTGTCACTAGCATTGACACTAACAAAAGGGTGTTGACCATGTTATTTCTGTACTTCTTGGCAGGTGACTCTGGTGTAAGCTCGGGTCTGATAGTTTTTCGTGTAGCGGAAGGTTGAAAGATGAGCCATGTTATTCATCGCTACAGGGTAAAGTATTCACTACATTAGATTAAAATTAGAAAATGGTATATAAGCTCACCTTTTAAATCCAATAACGTGTAAAAGAGATGATTGATCGATGATTAAATAAGATATGAGAGAGATATTTTAAATATTCTAATAGACTGTCATATCACTAAATCTAAAAAGTGAGTCTAAAATAAATTAAATATATAAATATGAATTTAAGATTTTATATCTTTTAAAAATAGTTTATGACGTAAAAATGTCAGAATGAACTGTGGTCTAGTCCAAATACCACATCAGTTAGCCCCAAAGCAGAGTGACTCTGCAGTATCAAAATGTTATAATCGGCAGCAATATAAGCACAACACACATATAAGATAAATGATTTACCTTTGGGAACGAAACCTCAGTCTCCATCTGCTCCTCAACAACATCCAGAGCAGTCATGCCACTATGGTTTCTCAAATTTACGTTAACTCACTTGTCCCAAGCCAAAGCATGCACACTCCGATTAAGTCCATTTATAGCAGCTAAATGCAATGGTGTGTTTCCATCTTCATCGATTTGGTTCAGAAGCTTTCCAAGTTCAGGAGTTTTGAGTATGTAATTAACTACACCAACTTTACTATTCTTGGCAGCTACATGAAGAATGTTTCGTCCTTGTTTGCCTAGCAGCTCCATTGCATCAGGGCAGCGTTGAAGAATCTCTCAGATAACATCAACGCGGCCTTCACTGGACGCTACATGAATAGGAAAGTTACCACTTCCATCTCTTTGATACGAGGTTACACTAAATTTCTCTAGTAAATGGTGCACCCCTTCAAGGTAACCCGCAAGTATTGCGGAGGAAAGGGCAGTCGTCCCGTCCTCATCCTTCAAGTAGGTAAGTTTCGGTTCTTTCTTCAATATGGCTTCCAGGACATCTGATCATAGAATTGTTTGACAAACAAAAAAATACAACCGAACAAAGAAAACCTATAAGAAAAAAGATAGGAAAATTGTATTTAAATGTGAACACCTCAAAATCATTGCTAAGTGAGAGTCATGTACATGCCTCATTTGCACTAGACACCCACTTACTTGCATTTCAATGAAAATACAATTATTTTAAATTATTCTTATGTTGGACCATTTTAATATCTTTTATTTATTTATTTATTTATTTTTGGTGACCTTTTGTTTTGTCCATGAATGGATATTACTGGAAGGTCATGGGCATTGGTGGTAAGTAAATATTTTGGAGGTTTTGGGACTCTCCATTTTCTCTAGTTTAATGGTAATTATTTTCTAGTGTAATTTGTAAGGTTTTAGTTAGGGGTGTTCGCAGTTTGAATTTGGACGGTTTGCGGATCGGTTTGGATCCGCTCGCATCTATGCAGTTTGGAAAAAAGACAACCCACAACTGCCCGCAGTGCGGTTTGCGGTTTGTGCGGATAGGGTTTCCAAATGTGCGGGCGGTTGCAAGCGGTTTGCGGTTTACACTTTTTTCTTTAAAAATTAATTTTCGAGTTTTTTTTTCCAGCGAATTTAGGCATCAGATTCATTTTATATATTTGTGATAACAATTTTTTGATGAGTTTACAAATAAAAATTGAATATCAATGCATTAAATGAAAGTACCCAAAACAAAGAGACTCTACACTAGCATTTTTGCCATGAAAAAAATGTATATCAACGCATTAAAGGTTGTACTCAATTAGAATTTCCAGTTCAGTAATCAATAATCAAACTAGAAGTTCCACCGACCACCAGAAGGAAAATTTTATTAGGAAAAAGTGGATGAATCACCAATGAAAATCATATAAGAAACCAAGTTTAGGACTTGATTTCG